CTATATGTTTTTAAAAATAGATAAATAGGAATAAAATATATAAATAGGAATATATAATATATAAATATAAATATATATAGGAATAAAATAGAAATAGAAATTATAAATGCAGAAATATAAATATGAAATAATAAATATAAGTATAAATATGAACAATAAATATAAAATACAAATACGATAATATAAAAAAATAAAAATAAAATTTAAAATATAAATTATAAAAAGAAAACATAAATATAGAACGCAAACTAAAATTAAAATGTAAAAAGAAAAAGTAATATGAATATAAAATATAAATTAAAATGGAAATACAAAATATAAAATATATATAGGAATAAAATAGAAATAGAAATTATAAATGCAGAAATATAAATATGAAATAATATAAGTATAAATATTAACAATAAATATAAAATACAAATATGATATAAAAATAAATTAAAATTTAAAATATAAATTATAAAAAGAAAACATAAATATAGAACGCAAACTAAAATTAGAATGTAAAAATAAAAAGTAATATGAATATAAAATACAAATTAAAAGGGAAATACAAAATATAAAAGAAAATAAAGCTGTTAAATATTAAATAAATTAAACTATAAATTATAAAATAAAATATTCTAAAAATTACATTCTATAAAATAGAATATTCTAAAAATGTTCTAAAAATATTCTAAAAATTTAGAATAAAATATTCTAAATATTACATTTATATTTTTAAATATATATTAAAAAAATCAGATTCTCCAGGCCATCCCAGAGGCAGCTTACCATCCTGGTTGCCCCACTCCCAGTCGGGCCCACGGACCACTTTGGCCCCCTGGAAAGTTCCTTTCAGGGTGATGCGAGTCAGGTTCTGCCGAGGGCTCACGAGAACCCTGCAAACACAAAACCAGAGGAACAAATGAATTTATTGTTGTTGCAGAAACGCCCAAGCTCTGCTCCAGCTGAGGACCCCCCTCATTCAGGGTAATGGCATTTTTGGGGTGCCTGCAGGGAGGCAGGGATGGAGCTCAGCCCGTTCTGCAAGCACAGACCCAGAGCAGCAGGGCTGAGGAATTCTGGAACATTCCAGGCTCCCCCAGGGCAGCAGGGAGAAGGAGGGAGGCACCTACGTGATGGTGAACAGGGGGTCTGATGTCCTGTTAAAGCAGCTCCCGATGCCCATGGTGCCACTGGGGCAGCGCCTCTGCTGTGCCCAGGCTGCCACAGAGGCTCCTCATCAGCCAGCAGGGCACCACAATCCACAGGGACTGCCTGGCTGCTCACAAGCCAAAAATCCTTCTCATCAGCCACCACAATGCACAGGGACCGTCTGGCTGCTCACAATCCAAAAATCCTTCTCATCAGCCACCACAATCCACAGCGACTGTCTGGCTGCTCACAATCCAAAAATCCTTCTCATCAGTCACCGCAATGCACAGGGACCGTCTGGCTGCTCAGCCAGGGCAAAATCCACAAAGGCTTCTCATCAGCCACCAAAATCCACAGAAAGCTGCCTGGCTGCTCACAATCCAAAAATCCTTCTCATCAGCCACCAAAATCCACGAGGACCTGTCTGGCTGCTCACCCAGGGTACAATCCAAAATTCCTTCTTATCAGTCTCCAAGCCACCAAAATCCACAGGGTCCTGCCTGGCTGCTCAGCCAGGGCACAATCCCTTTTCAGGATAAAATCCACAA